TTCTGTTGGAGTTTATCAGGTTTGGTACACTAACCTGCATTTACAAGTACATAGACAAGTACATGAACCTGTTGGATTTTGTGAGGTTCAGTATGCTTTCTAGTGCAGGAGCCTAGGGGGTTAGGGTTAAATAAATGAACATGTACCATACAAAACAACCAACAAACTGAAGTGTTTAAGCTCCACATAAATCTTTAAAATCTGCAAAACGAATCATTTTAACTTCATGCTTAGCCTAATTCTCCAGTTTTCACAATTATAGTGTACATAATTTTGGTCCTGCACCATAAAAAAGTGAAAAGTTTTACTCTTATTCTCACAAGTTAAATTACACTGGGTGAACCCTAAACCTAGCTTGGATTCCCGAAGAAATCTGACTTTTCCAGAACTTTCCAGAACTAAAATGTGACAATTTGCACGTCTTTCAACATCATTTTGCAGAGAAAATTTGTTAGGTATAACGTACATGTACAATTTTATGAATCAGAAGATAACCATAGGCACTACTATAAACCGAGAGAGAGAGGGATAGCCGGAAAAGTCATCATTATTTCGTTATCACATCAAAGCAGCCCATTAAAACTAACACTTCCATGTTCCTGATTTCCATCACCTTTTTCCCTGATGGCAGAATTCTAAGACACCCTATTTTCCCAAACTTTCCATGACTTTTCCTTGACTTTCAAGGAAAACTTTTTTTCCCAGCATTTTTCAAGAGATTCCATGAGCGGGAGAACCTTCTTACTTTAAACACATCTACAGGTACCAACTGGTATCAACTGCAGTTTGCAGGCAACGGCTTACTGGAGTGATCTTCATGATAGGTTCAAGGTTGCCTGCTATAAAGACGCACATGAATCATCCACAAAACTGCTGCATTTTATGAGTCCACAGAACTATAGCTTGTAAACGAGCACCTCTAAGGAAAACACATTTTCTCCGATTTTATCTGTTCAAATAAATATGGAAGCATCCAAATTGAACGCAGTGTCATTTGTCTTTAGAGCTCAACTATAACAAGCTAAAAAGTTTTTTTTCTGTTCAGGCCAAGATGCGAATTCTGAACACGCTGAGTGTCGATTGCGTCATTCTGAGAAAACAGAGAAACCGAGGGGAACCTTCACCCTGTGTTTGTAGTGGACAAACCCTTGTGCATGTCAAACAATGGCTACATGCATTGTTTGACATGCACAAGGGTTTATCCACTACAAACACGGGGCGAGGGTTCTCCTCGTTTTCTCAGAATGACACAATTTACATTCAGCATGTTCAGAATTCCCATCTTGGCATGAACAGAAAAAGCCCTTTTTAGCTTGTTATAGTTGAGCTGTGAAGACAAAGGACACTACGTTCGATTTAGATGCTTCCATGTTTATTTGAAGAGGTAAAATCAGAGAAGACATGTTTTCCTTAGAGTTGCTCTTTTATATCATTTACAAGTGTGCATTTGCAGCGTTTGTCTCCTTCCCTTCCCTCAAATGAAAAATATTTACAGGTACAAGGGTAGGGAGAGGTTGTAAGTTTGGGCACTAAGGTGTCCTTGTTTCTGCTTTCCTTGGAGAAGTTCTTTAATTTTTTTCTCTGGTTTTCAAGTGCTTGCTGTTGGAAGGACAGCCATCTGCAATGTTTCACTTCTACATGTAATTAATCTCTACAATTTCTTGATCTTAGTTATCAGGAGGTATCTAAGAGTATAAAACACGAGCAGCAGAAGAACGAGGAAGGCAACAACAATAACTGAAATCCAACTGTATAAGATCAGCAGGTAATCACAGAAACAAATCAAGTTTTTAGGACCGCAAAGACAGTTAAATCCCGTGATTTTTATCCGAGAAATCATCGAAAAGTTGCGAACAAATGGTAGAGTAATCAGTATATCAGTCCGGATCAGTTTACAAATCCCGATTCACATTGACGTAATTTTGAATATATTCCAGATAGCACAGATTGATGCAGGATTTTCCAAATTTGATTTATCAAAATAATGGAATCAATCAAGCCCACATTATTTGTTAAGATAAATATGTCAGCAGCGTCCATATTAATATCCGTGAAAGAACAGAGTCAGTTTTATCCACATCAGAATGTTTTGAAGTAAAAAACAAAATCAGGACGATTGACAAATTGAGTAATACATGTAAAACAGATACAAAAATACAAAATAGGAATCAATCAGAGAAGTATCAATATACGGTTGGAATGTTTATCAAAGTAATCAATTTTTATCAGAGTAATCAATTTTTATCCCAGCAATCAATGTTTATCAGAGTAATCAATGTTTGTCAAACATTCAAGAGATTAACAGTTGAAATGGGAAGAAATGAAGTAAGAAATCACAAATGAGATCAAATGATACCATAAATGCAACAAGAAGCCAGTTCAAAATTCCAGGGAAATTAAACATACATGTACATGTAACAGGCAAACCAGGAAACCAATGGTTTAGAAATGATAAAGAAGCAATGATTTAATGCAGAGCGTGTCCATAACAAGATTGCAAATTGGGAACAAACCACGAAGGATGAGGAGTCGATACCCAAAGACCAAACCGGCAGAGGTGAACAATTCAGGATGAAGGAGACAGACAGGTTGAAACAAAAATGGATTCAGAGGCACAAAAAAAGGTTTTAGGATTAGAAATGTACATGAATGAAGACGGGAAGGAAAGTGCAACATTTGTCAACCATTTAGAGTCAAAATGTAATACTCAAAGGAATAAAACAGACAGAGGGGACGGACAGGAATTATAGAGCGAGTAGATGTCCACAGTTAAAGAAAAAAGCAAGATTAATGGACAAACAAATGATGACGTAAGAAAGCGACAGTTACACATACATGTACATGTATATTTAAACCAAGGAAGAGCAATATGAGATGAGGTTTATTGTACAAAAAAGACAAAGACAGGAGATACAATAGGAAAGAAAGATTGTTATTGTGAGAAAAGATGACAGGAAAGGTAATCACAGACAGAAGGGGGGAAAGCAAGAAAAGAAAAGCAGTAAAATAAGAAAGCCGCCATTACAGAAAAGTCAAATCACCATCCATCAACACAAAAAGATCCATTGTAAAATTTGAGATCATGCATTGTAAACTCTACACTATAAAATGATTTCCACGTTCTGGAATCACAAAGTTTGACATCAACACCTTGTTTTCCCACAAATATAACATATACATGTATGAAGTTTTGCGGTACACAGATGCAACGGGCACCAAATCCAACACATGAAGCAAGATATGAAACGGAAGAAACCCCCCTGCATTGTGTTGGTCATTGTTTCACTGGAATCTGAGGAATTCTTTTCAGACATCTTGGGGGGGGGGATGTGTTAGGTAACAACAATCTAGAGTGTGTATAAGGATTGGGCAAGTTGGGGGTTACCCCTTGGTCTCATTTCTTGCTGGATATAAAATCCAAGCACATGGTACATCTGTGCCACACACAAGCTCAAACGTCACAAAGTCAACAAATAAAATGTTCACTGCTTGGAAATGAAAATCAATTCTGTAACTTTGTTTGTTCAAATTCAAAAACAATATCCCTTGTTGGACTGAAAACTTTGAGCAAATACAATGAACATGATTCTGAATGAAAGGCAACTGCAAAAGAAGGAGAAGCCAACAGAAATGATAAATGAAAGCAGAATAGGAGAAAATATGGGCAAAGCCGCTGACAAGAAGCAAAGATACACGTATACATACCACACAAATGGTGGGAAAGTCAATAAGACACTGGAAGGACAGTATAAAAACATACACTCTACATGAAAGTGTTTCATTAGTACAAGAACCACACAGAATTTGTTGAATTTTGGCTTCTGACGTTCCCAAAAAGATAAAGTCACTGTTGATTCTGACAGACTAACAGGAGGGGAAAGCTCAAATGGAATGTTGTCACAGGTTCTCAACTGTACGAAACCAATTTAGATAACAGAAATTCCACTCCAAAATGTTCAGGTAGTACCGTAGTTTCAAGGACACCTGTACTGACCCCTATCACCTTTCTGCTCGATGAACTAGATTTCTATTCTTTCCTAACTTCTTGCAGTTCTAAACAAAAGTTCTGACACAGTTTGAAAACTAAGATAATCAACTGACCTGGATTCGACTGGCGAGGGCGCCCTTGAGCTCTCAGCACTGCTGCTGCTCTCAGGCTCTGGATGCATGTAGAGCCCATCAAACTCTACATCCAGGTCTTGGCCCGACAGCACGTGCTGTAGGAGCTGCTGCTGTAAGAAGCTGTTTTGTTCTTCCTGGTGAAGCTTGGCTTCCAACTCCTTGACCTGAGATTCCTTCTGCGAAGCGTGCTGACCCTGCACAGCAAAGGAATCTTAGTCCATATTTGTTCACAAGACACTGGAGCACATTTTGAGTTAGTTCTTTAAAAGAATTTCGCGTCGTACAAAGCAATGGGAATCCTCAACATTTTTCACCCATTATCTTGTCCAGTTTCATCTGGATGACAAAATGGGTGACACATCCAAACTCAGTTTGCTCTTTCTAAAATGAATTGCTGAAATTAGGGTCTTAAGATTCTCTGGGATCTGATCATCACACAGGTAGTGTCACATTAAAATAGGCAACATCCTTCTCAATGCATTCCTTGTTAAGAATGATGCTCAACAAACAATAAACAAAAGATAATGAATAGTCATTACATGGAAAGGATTATCTCCAAGATTCAACTTTTTAAAGTCATTACATGACTTGAGTTTTGACTTTGAATTATCAACACTTTCATATCTGGGTTTCTCGGGGTAAAAAAAAGGATTTTCAGTGAATCTGATAGTGTTTCGAGTGACAAACCTTGTTGATGGTGAGCTGTAGAAAGTGCTCTAGCATGTATTTAGCCTCCTGCAGGCTACAGTTGTCAATGATGGCAGTAACATCACCAACATCAACTTCATCCTATGGGATCAAATAGACAAGAACAACTGGTATGAGAGACTACCACCAGAAGTACAGGTGCAGAAGTGATGAGCAGAAATATATAAGTCACCTTTAGAATAAATTTTAAGTTTTGATTACATGTATATATGTACTGTTCAAGTCAGTTTTCAGTCTATAATCAAAGTACCGAGGTAAAATAATGATCAAATATCATAATGGCCGATGTCGACATTACAAGTATGTGTACAGTCGAACCTCGCTAATAAGAGGTCCTTCAGACTTGGCATACTACAATGTACCTTGTTATAACACGAGTCTTGTATTATCAGAAATGAAAACAATGAAAAACAAAAGACTGGGCCCTGAACATATTCTTGTTAAGCAGAATCTTCTATTAACAGTGCTCTTATTAATGAAATTCCACTGTAGGCTACATGTAACGGTATATGTATTAAAGTTGATGGATTGGTAAAAACCAATCACACTACTGTGAGTGCTCCTTGACAGGTGTCTCTGCATGATGGAATATATAATGATCTACAGGTAGCATGTCGTTCGCTTGAGAAAATCTACTTCAAATGGATCCAGGGCAGGAACTTTGTTCTTGAAGCAGCAAGGCAATTTCTCATTTACAAAGGGTACTTGCATTCATAGAAAATTGAACTTGTCTATGGAAACATTTCAATGAGGCAAAGACCAGAGGCATCATGGCAACTGCCTCGGTGCCTCCATGAAGTTCCTGCCCTCTGGATCCATTCACCAAACTTGGACAAGGAATTTCTTGCGTTTCAGTGATTAAGAAGATTTTAAGTATGACAAATGTGCTATCAAGAAATTTTCAGTTATTAGAATCACAATAGTCTCATAACAATGACGATGAGTTGAAGCATGCAGTACATGGGTCTCACTGCACAACACATAACACAAGACATAAAAATACTTCACTCAGAAAAGCAACAAAACAAAAATTGGGTCAAACAACATAAAATGTTGGACAATTTCTCAGATGCAATTTTAAATACAGGTACATGTAGACCAGCGTTGTAACAGAGTCAGCCACAAGTCATTCCATTCTACAAAGTCACCTCGTTAAAGTTTGTAAATGAATTGCAATAAAGATATTCCTTTGTTATTGTTCATCTCTCTAGTGCTGACCTGATTTGTGACCTGATAATTGACCTGTGACTGACTCGATACCAAGTCTAAACACACCTGAGAAGGGAAGTTGGAAATAAAACAAAAATCTTTCCATGACATTTAAACGAAACTGTGTTGTAAACACATCCTAAGTTCACTAGCAGTCACAGAGGGCTAAAGTACATGTACATGTGTATGTTTTTCAATCACAATTTTCATGTTAACACCAAAAAGAAACCGAATGAAAGGGGCAACATTTCGATCACATTTTGACAACATGCAAGGGACGACTACAATTCCAAACTCTGCTTTACACAGAACTGAAAAGTGAAAAACTTTGGAGTCCATAGAAACATGTTTTCACATACCCATGTTCCCTCCTGCGATGAGAAAATCAAATTATGTGGTAGATTAATTACACATTGAGTATGACTGACAACTGAGGAAAATTACTCAGACTGATCAGTTGTAACACAACTCAAATACACTGTACATCACAAAAAATCTTTTGTAATCTCTTGAAAAACAAATGACTGATTCAAGTTTACTTGAATATTTTTTGTACAAACAAACTTTAATATTACCTACATTTTCATTATCTTTACATGTATACCGCCAATCAATTTGAAATGATGAACATAAATCTCTTTTACAATGTGTGTTTAACACTATCACATGTTAACATCTGGTTACATCTCACTTTTCCAAACATAACTTCTGCAGTAACAGTCACTCATCCGTGTTGCTGCATACCTATTTACGCATCTTAATTCTTTTTAATACCATGAGCCAGCTTGGTAGTTCCAAAAACATGGTCATTTGAGAGCAAAGTATGGGTGTAAGTTGGGATACGACCGCACTGATAGAGCAGGTCTCACTCACGCATAATTAATACTGTTCCCAACTGACCTCAAACTTGTTCATTTTAGGGATTCAAAGCTAAAATATCAAAACAGATCATTCTTCTTATCTTACCTTCCCTTCCATGACTTCCATGATATTAGCCTGGCATTCTGTAATCTGTTCTTGGACATATTCAATGTTGGCATTCAAACCATCAATTTGGTCGTTCAGCTCCGCAATGATAACAGCATCCTTCCCGGCACGGATGGCTTCGTCTCGTCGGTGGAAAGTCTTCTCTCGTTTCTTACTGAGTCGTTGTCGGTGATGGAGGTAGCGTTCCATATCGCATTCCATGTGGGTGATTGTCTGACGACGATTCACAATATCAGTTACCTAAATTGATGAATCAAACGCAGAGTATGAGTGACTATGAACCTTGTCAACACTCAGTTTGGAAGTTCTTGAAACGCTACAAATTGACACTTGTTGCTGATTCAACGCATGAACCTGTAACTTCTAGATTCAAAAAGGTGAAGACACCATTCCTGGAAGTTTTGTTAGGAGACAAGTTTCCTGAAAAGCCTGGGAAACTTTTTAAAGGGAACTGAAACATCAGTATTACAATCACAAACCCAGTTCTCGGTAAACTCAGCTAATTCACTTATAGACCTTTTCACCCACGTGACTAAATGTAAACAATACCACTATGTGTGGACCGCCTTGGCCACAGTGATTGCATGTATACCTATGGGCAGCTTCAACCACGTGCAAGCACACACGTAAACGCTGCATGCTTGACTAGTTTATCTTGAATAGGTAGATTACCATCGCAACACTATGCACTTATTACCATCACAACACATGGTGGTCCAGCACGATCGTGACATCACTGGACAAAGGTCTATAGTAGCTCATAACGTAACTTAGAACAACAATGTGTTTATTTACAGTTGTGTGAAGTGCCAAAACCAAAATCTGACTGAATATAAGTATCACTTTATGTTAACAAAAGGATTTTGTTCTTGGAACCAACGGAAGTGGAAGCTTGGCTTCTTACCCTTCTGTCGATCTGCATCCATTTCTGCTTAGCAGCTTTGGAGGAATATTCACTCGTCCCCTTGCGTTCATGCCTTCTCTTCTGTGTAGCAGCACTCAATGGGTGTTTCCGCCTCGCTGCTGTGATGGCCTGCAGCGATGGCGTTGGTCCGTTGATCTTTGCTGCCACATCCTGCTGCTGTTGGGGTGGAAGGCGACGACTTGTGACCCGACCTGCAGCCTTGTCAGATAATGGTTTGGACTGCTTGCGAAGAAGCTGAACCTATATATGAAAATAAGCACATCAACCGTTGTAGCAGCAGCAAATAAATTTAATTAATCTTATCTTGTTCTACTATTTATAGTTTAAGTGTCTTAACTTTTGATCTCTCTAATCATTGTTTTTAATCTTAGGTTTCATAGAGTGAACTCCCAATGGAACACAATCATCTGTATTTTTAACAAAATGAACACAATAAAGTAAATTTGAATTTAATTTCAGATATTAAAACAACCTCTTCTATCAAGAGTAACCATGGTAACTGCAGATGCCAAATGTGAGCTACCAATCCAATAACAAAGTAAAATAACCTACTGAATATTCATGAGCAAACCAATACCTCTTCCTGTCTTCTCTTGAGGACTATTTCCTTCTGTTTAGCCTCTGCTTCCAGCGATTTGATCCTGTTCTCATGCTTGCGGGACTCCTTCTTCAGCTTCTGGATGGCTCGGTTAGAGGCTACCTCTTTCTGTCGGGCTTTCTGTTGCTCTTCCCGAATTTGTTTCATCAGTTTGACCTAGCCATGGAGAGGATCAGCCATCAAATCAGTTGTCAAGACATCTATGACCTCTGTGTTTGGTGTTGGCTGTGATGTAAGATGCACTTCTCGTTTAACAAATGATTAAATGCCCTTCCTTCCGTCACCCACGGGCATCGCCAGGAAGTTTTCCGGTGGAGGGAGGGCAAAAGTACTCAACATCAACGAACTGATACCAGTAAAAAGAGGTCAATTTGGAGGGATTTTTTTTCAAGTAGTGTTGATTTCATCCCCTTTCATCTCTTTGTTTTTCATTTTCTTCACTTTATTTATCTTTTTTTCTCCTTTTTTCTATGAGGGAGGGGGCAAGTGTCCTCTTGCCCCACCCTTGCAACGCCCGTGCCCCTTTCCCCACCGTATACCCACCTTTGTCTCCTTCATCTTGGTGAGATCAGATGTTAGTGTCTTCATCTGACGCTCATATTGCGACTTGTCTTTCAGAAGCTTGGAGTGTTCCTTGGATGCCTTGTGCATCCGGTCTTTTTCATTGGTCAGCTTCTTGAGTTTGATCTCAAACTCCTTACGGATTTTCTCAGCCTTCTCTTTCGTTCTTGTTTCGGTCAGGGAGCCTGCAGATTACAAAGTTTTTAATGCGACGAAATTCAAGACATAGCTAATATTCCCCTGGTTGATTCATAGTTTAGTTCCTACCTGATGTCGGAACCCATTGACACTTTTAGATGCAGAGAGGCAAGTGGGGGTAAAGTAGCTTGCCTAAGGACACAAATATATGGCTAGCAGCTGGATTCGAACCCCTGACCATCTGACAGTGAGCTCTCAACCCAAACCATGGAGCCACACTCACCCATATTGGCTAGTATCTTATCTCTCTCCATCTCCGTCTCTCTGATCTTGCTCTGTAAGGACATCATTTTCTCCTCGTACTGTGCCTTCAAGGTGTACAGCCGACGTTGACTCGTCTCCAGCTCCTCAATAAGACGTTGCTTGATGTTAATCTCACAAGCGAGGTCTGCCAGATCTTCTTGAAGCTGAGACTGAGCTGAGGGACACAGAGTGTATAAGCGAGTTTAGAAAAATAAATATCTGCTTCACAGTCAATATCATCTTGTTGATTTCTTGGAAGCAATCCTAAGTGCAGTCAGGACAGTGTGTAAATCTGTCAACCTCTGCTAGGCCAGTGGTGGCTCAGTATGAGGAAGCAAACAGGAAGTCTGTGTTTTATGTATTCCTTTGACATATTCGAATCAGCCACCTCAGCAAGTTTGAAGTGCTGAAGATGACAAGTTGATGCTCAACATCAACAGCAAATTGTTCCATGGCAGCTAGCGTCACACTCCAAATAGTGTCTTCCATTCAGCAGTAACCTTCTTAGTTATGATCTGTTGCTGCAGTTTACCTACATCATCTTCCACCGTCATCATCTCTTTACCTACATCTTCCTCATCTAAACTGCTATCTTCAATTTCCTCATCTTACCTACGCCATCTTCCACGGTCATTATCTTCCACTATCACCATCTCCCACTGTCATCATCAGCTGTTTTATCCCCATCTTCCTCATTTAAACTTTCCATCTTCACTTTCCTCATCTTACCTGTGTCATCTTCATCTTCGGAGTCACTCTCGCTGCTCTCCTTATCCTCGTCATCTTCTTCATCGTCTTCTTCTCCATCTTCGTCTCCGGCAACTTCCTCAACATCTTCACTCATCTCCTGCTTCTCCATTGTCACATCTTCTTTCTCTGTAGAGTCCTCCTTCTCATCAGCAGATTCATTTTCTTTGTCAGAATGGCTGTGGAAGGAACAAATTTCATTACAGAATCTATTTGACCTTTTGATGTATTTCTGAAGGTATTTCAAATAAACCTGGTCACCTTGAGTTTCCCCCCAATCAGACTCAGTTTGTCAAATAAACGATTACAGAAAAGTACCCCAAGCTCAGGAACCGATCTCCAATTAAGCCAGAGACACACATGTACCTGTGTAATCTGGACTTGCTCTTGGCCTCCTTAGAAGCTTCTACCATTCGCATTTTCTCCTGGTCATGTTCCACCTGTTTCTTTGCTTCAGCAAGGATAGACGCCACTCGAGTATTCTCTGGAAGTTCAGCCTCAATGCTGAAAATAAACATGCAAACCAGGAGCCAATTTCACGGAAATGCTAATTATGTAAGCTCACAAATTTACTAAGCCCAGAGAATATTTGCTTCGTAGAAATAGATTACCAGTGAAAACATCACACATGCTGTATTTCTAGTGACTGGTTTCCTGTTGAGTATTGCTTAGCACAGAATTTTCTAAGTAACAGAAAGCTGCTCAGCAGCTCATGTACAGCTACAAAGTGTACTTTCAGATTTTTACAGACAAGTTTAACAAAACAATTGAAAACCGACAATGCAATCACAAATGAAACTAAAAGCACAGTGCTTCAAATGAAAATACTCTCAAAGTGAGTGAAAGCCTGTGTCCCAATGGCTGCGGCTTGAAATTACACGAGTCTATGGTAGCGGCTGCAGCCAGTTCCCATACAGTTGTGTGTAATCTCTGAAGCCATAGCCATGCAATTCAGCCAAAGTCTGTAACCAACCAATGATGTTCGTGTACACAGACAAATGTAATTGAACATGGTAGCTGAACTCATGCAAATGGTAAGGTAATGCAGGAATCATAAGGACACAGACTATTTGCTCTTTGTATGCCGTGCCATGGGCATGCAGAGCCTCGATCTGGCAGCTTAATGTAGCCAGTTCAGCGATTCGTGTGTGTGTTGCTGGGTCATTTTTCTCCTGTACCTCGCGATTGGACAATATTTCAAAAGCTGTGTTGATACAATTCTGATGCGATTGTACGAGCTGCCAGTTGGAGGCTCTGCATGCCTATGGCAGCAGCGTACAAAGAGTAAATGATGGCAAATCTTCAGGTGAATGTAATTCAACATCTGCAGAAGTTACATTCGCTACACTGCCACACAGTTTTTACTTGATATTAACCACTTGCTGCCGGGGAGCCCCGTTTCAAGCACTATGGGTTTATACGCAGAGCCGGGCTGCGCGAAATCTGACAAAAGAGCTGGTCCGTGTAACAAAAGACAGTACTCGGAACAAAAGACGTGCTGCTGGGAATTGCCATCATTTTTTGGCTTGCATTTATCGAAGGTAATCTGTCACTTTTTTAAAACTTTTTTAAACAGTATACCACTGTTTTTAAACAGTATACCACTGTTTTGGGCATAGCGCATCCACCGATTAGCACCACGGACAAAAGTGCTCCAGGGCCCCAATGATGAGTGACACAGCACCGCTGCATGCTAATCCAGCAACGTTTGAAAAGATGCCACTCGCATTAACTGAGGACAAAGGAAATTATGCAACACCTCACAATTCTGGGCTCTCTTTTCAGGGCGGCAGGCCTGGCTGAAATACTTAGGAGTCAATGAAGGTTGCCTGTCAGCTTAGAGTAGAAACCAAACAGTCATTTGTGTGGGTGTAAAGGTCCATTAAATGAAATGATGAATTTTTGAAGAATTTTGAAAACTGAAAATCTTGAAAATCTTCCGTATGTGTGCCCTGCAATTTTAAAAGCATCCGGCAGCATGTGGTTAAACTGTGTCTTGTGCAGAAGTTGGTCATTCTATAAATTTGGCGTCTCATTTTTTCCTGCCCTGTTACATCTGGCATGTGATTTTTTAAAACTTAGACTTCATTCTTGAGTTTCCAAGATTGAATAAGTAAAGTAATCACCAGCCAGACAAATCAAAATAGTTGGAAATCAATTTCAGTGATACTTTCCTCGTCAAAGACAGGTGTAACAGGGACAAAGAAAACCAAATCGGACCCTCAATTTATGGAATGACTCAAATGCAAGAAAACTTTCCGGTATAAAAGCAAAAAATAAAGCAAATGTAGGTGAAAACCAAAAAAAATAGGGAAAACGATTTTGACCTTCACATGTACAAAACGGAATCCACTTTTAACAAAGCTGTTTTTACATGGAGTGTAGAACGTCATCATGTGGTACGGGCCCCATGCTGGACCAAGAGAGGGCACTAGTTCCTTAGCAACAGGGACTCCTTTGGTCCTAACTGCACATCGATGGTTCACGAATGACTACGAGACGCAAGCATTTCAGTCGTCACATCACTACCGACAAACTAAATACATGTACTTCTGACCAACGGGGCTCTTTTCAACCGATGAGGGGCTGCTTCTGCTCGAGGCGGATATGCCAGGGAAGATGGAGTGTAGCAATGATGTGGGTCCATTGTTTGATCATGCAAAGCAGTGATATGATTGGTGGGGATTGAAGTGATATGATTGGCCAGGACACTTACCGTTCTCCTGAATTATGTCGTTGCCTGCTGCTACGTGGCCAAGAAAAAGGTTTCAAGAGGGGATTGGTCAATCATGGCAAAGGTCAAATGTGTATCTTTACGGACTTGAGATGGGTATTTTGCAAAGTTTTTTGCTATCATAAGATTTAAATCTGAATCTCAACAAAACCAACAACCTGTCTTGCAACAACGTATCTACCATCTTTCAAGGCGATAAGAGCTGTGTAAGCATGACGGGGGTTGAAAGTACAATAATGGAAGTTCATTCCAAGGGGCTACGACTGACATTAATGCCATCTCTCACTTGTACCCTGCAACAAAATATTCTACAGAGGAAACTGTTTGCAGTAGCTATCGTACCTGAAATCCACACTGCTAGAAGTCAGAGGTATATGAGTTGGGCTCATAGTGGCTCGTGATGGAACACGGACTGGGGACTCGTGGACATTTTTACGACGTAGGACGGCATTTAGAGACTCACTCTCCACCAGTTTTGCCCTGGGGAGGAAAGGTCAGAAAATGAACAGCCAAAGATGATCACAGACAAATATTTCTACACTTTCAGAAAAGTTTAAGACGTACAAATATAGACTTCTTTCTAGTTCTTGATTGGCACGGACACTTCTAACCCTCCAGGAATGAAAAGTTACATGTGGGCTGAGACATACAGTAGTCATCAAGAAATTTTGAGTATGGAAGGATCACATAAATTTATGTCCAATTTGTGTAATTTTGAAACAAAGCCTGAAACCTGGAATAGAAGGAAACTTTCTAACTGTAATTTCTTGCTGTAATTCTTTCTTTCATTAGAATATTCCTCTGGGGTTCTCCTCCCACCTCTGAAGGTGTAACGGCTTCTCATTGTCTCCTCTCTACAGGTTTCTTCAGGCTTACAAGTAACAATGTCGAAGGCACTTTGGGGGAATCCTTGGTGTCATTACCAGAAAGGATTAACACTAATCTCTTCCATCCTTGAATGCTTACCTCAGATCTTCAATCTCCTTGACGTACCCCTCCACCATGGACATCAACTCTTCCCCTCCGCCCCCTTCCTCCCCTGCTGCCCTGCTACTCAGCTGTAAGTGAGCTTGTTCAGCGACCAGTACAGAGATCCTGGACGTCTGAGAGTCGATGGTCTCCTGCATAGCTTTGACTCGCTGTCGGAGGTTCTCGATTTCGGTTTGCAGCATTGTGTTCTCGTGGAAGAGGTCGTTGATTTCCTCAACACCCTCAGCATTCACCTGCCTTTTACCCTGTGAGAAATGATTCCACATCAAAGTCACTCTTTAAAGAAAAAGTTTCTTAGAGCAAAAAGTTATCCTAACCCCACGCAATTCTTCCCAGTCCTCCAAGGCATTTTGGAGGCTGCTATGGACTTGATGCCCTTAAAATATAGGGACAAAATCTGCAACTGCACTCTCAGAACGGTGATGGACTTTAAAGAGTCATGACGATTATTGCAAAGATACTTTGAAACCTTATAGAGTTCCAAAACGTGACCGAAAAGTATAATGCAAATGAATAGAATATATATGTATCTGCTGGTTCACATGCTGGTTCTCCCACTAATGCGTTTTACACACTTATGCATGTGAAGCATTCACTTGGATACTCTATACTAAATACTTTTTTATTCCAATCTTAATGCGTAAATATTAAAAACTAATCTGCTGACAATTCAGCTCAGTAGCTATATGCTCAAGAATTTACAAGAAAAAAAAGCACAAACCAAAGCAGAAAAAAGACTTCATCGGTGCATGACACCAGTATCCAGAACTGCAATAAGTGAATCACATCACACAGTAGAACAATCCACCTGCTTCAAGTGATCTCATTACACTCACCTGTTTGTATTCTAAGAGTTCTTCTTGTAGTTGTCTGATTTCATTCCTGAGAGCGGCTAACTGGCGACTAGTCTTGTCCTGATTGGCTACCACAATGTTCTTGATGTTCTTGGCTCGATTGGCGTAGCGTAAGGTGTTCAACGTCTCCATAAAGTCACGGTCAGACGGACTGACGCAGGCAATCATGAGGGTTTGACTGGGGAGCAAAAGATCGACTCAAATGGAAATCACTGAAATGCCGGAGAGCCAACTATTAACTCAAATGGAAATCACTGGAATGTTGTAATACGATGACATTGGATTACACTTTTTGAGATCCACTCTTGAATGTTTCCCAGATGTGCTCAGATACATCGGATATGTAATCTCTGCCTACCATTACGTGTATGTGTACTTGTCCCCTGCATGAATTAATTTCATGAACTGCAATTCAATTTAATACTCAAGATGCAAACATGATTGGTCAAAAGTTTCCAGTCCTAATAGTGAAGACACTGAAGTCGTTTCTAACTTCCCACTTTCTTCCTTCATTTATTACAGGATCAAAACTGTACTGCCGAGGATTTTGAAAACTGAAACCAAGTCTCAGTAGTAGGGAACGAAACAAATGTTTATAAACATGAAGCAGAGACAGAACAGACACTGATTTCAGTAAAGACATTGATTTCATGTAACATAATCTGGACTCACAGTGTACATAACATGGATTTAATCAGCACGCTATTGAAGCCACTGGCGGCCATCTTACCATGCCAAATACAAAGATGAAATTAAAAAGGCTTGCCTGCAATTGTTAACCTAATGCATTCATGGCATCATTAGTTACAATAGCAAGCCAGCCACCCACCCCTTTCGTATTTGGCAATGTAACATGGCAGCCATGGCTTCAGTCGGTACAAAGGCATTGCAAGTCCAATTTTGTTTGGCTTTTCAGCTTTGGTCTGGTACCTGTTACCACCCAAAGAGTCCTGCAGTAGTCTGGTAAGCTTGGAATCTCTGTAGGGTACATGGCTGGATTTCTTGGCTGGGTCTCCTAAAGCACTGATCACATTGCCCAAGGCAAGCTAAAAAGGCAGAAAGAAAACAATGATTTACATTTGGTTACAGATTCAAGTCCACAGCACACTATCCTGACGAGCAAACTGTCCAAAATGTTGAGTGAACTCACAAAAGAGATATTTCTTTTTTTTCCAGCTAACTCCACATTGTTCCTCCACCGTGAGAACCTTCAAATTTTATCTGACATCAGATCAGTTTCTTAATTCAACACTCACACGTATGACCTATTTTTCCAATCTGTGTGTAAGACCTGACACAAGACCAGGTCACAAGACCAGGTCACAAGACCTGACACAAGACCTGACACAAGACAAGGTCACAAGACCTGACACAAGACCAGGTCACAAAACCAACTGTATGTGTCAGCTTCAATTCTTAATTCAATCAGACGATGGAAAGTAAGGAGCTAAGACACAAAATACATAAAGGTATGTTAAATTTAGACTTTTCAGGCTGGAAATTTTTGTTGAAGAGTCTTTCAGGATGACTCGACATGTGAAATCAAAAGAAAAAATAACGGCAATTTACCACGAACTAACGTACCTGCGATGGTCGTTTATCTTGTGCAGTGGGCATGGTTTAAACTGAAGTGGCACCACACTTACGAACCGGATACTGCATGTACTGTGTGGACTCCGCGGGCACGCGCGACGGACTTAAACACAGAGAGCCTTGTGAAATCTAATGTGAAATCCATCTATACCCATTTTTGTGGAGTCGGTCACATTTATGACATAAACTGATAAATGGATATCTAGGCAACATACCAATCCACAGTTGATAGAAATGCCTTCTTTTGCGCGGTCCCCTGTAGCACCGGTTCTCTTCAACCTCTCTGAGCCAGCCAAGTCTACAAAATGAAACTTGGCAGTGAGCGTCTCAAACTCATTCATGCCTGTGTTGTCATCGTTCGTCTTGGCTTGCTCGTCATCATTGTCTTCGGCTGACTGTTTAAAAAAGATCATCGTGGATATCCTTTGTTCAAGAAAATCTTTCAAGACCCGTCACTCCACTACATTTATTAGGCAAAACCAGTTCTTACAATCTGGTATTCTAGTACAGCTAAAGGGTTCTTTCCGATCAATTCAAAAACCTTCCCACAACTCTAAGGTTTTAACCACACCAAGTGGCAAATTCTTTGCACTTACACAACCCTATAAAAATGGACTTTTTATCTTGGTAATGGTCGACCTGTTTGACAAAGTTTTACAAGACAGGCTTTCACTTAGAAAGTTGTTAAATACCATGATGGCAAACCAAGGGAAAGATTGATGCCAAGGATTGAAGCTCTTGTAAAATGGCCGTCTCTAAGGCATCTTGGGTTCAAAGATCATAACCAATTAACTTCTGCTGCTCTATATTCAATTTTCGTTCTGTTGCGACAGTCATTACAGTTGTCACTGATTTGAGAGAGTCTCTGCTTACCACTTTGACCAGTCTCTGTTGTTTGATATGCAGAGTGAAGATAGCATGAGATCTGGAGCTTTGAGCATTCATGTTGGTACTCCCAGTGGTTCTAGATAGAGCACCACCTTGCAAACACTGTAATGTCTGGGAAGAAACACGAGCAAAGTCAAAGAAAGATCTGGATGAGACCAGATCTACTGAGGTCATTGGATACCAGCCAAGAGTTTGTACACAGGTGTACACTAATAAACATCGGTGTAAAAGCAAGGTGTGTATCAAATTTCCTGGTCTCAACGATCGTCCTTGGCTTGATTTTGTGCTCTGCAATAAAGTTTAAGATATTTAATCTTGGACCCAAATGAGAGACGAAAATTGAAAACACTCAAAACTTTGGCTTCAGATTTGAAAATTTAGAGTATCCCCAACCAGATTTATACACGGAAATGTAGGTACATGTAGATGTATGCTCACTATCATACTCTCAGCTCAAGAGGACGATTCAATGACATGGGAAACTGACATCAACGACCAAGAGACATCCCAAGTTTAGGAGAATATTGTGAATGATACTAACCTCCTGTTCAGAGCCGACTGTTCGCGTAGTCACACCGACAACGTAGATCCCTCCCTGTGCATCCTCATGGATCTTAATGTGTGACTTCTTGTTCTGCAAAGACAAAAAGGAAAACAATCGTGACAGTTGGATGAAACATCTGGGAATATGACACATTGCATTCCTGACATTTGGCTGTACAATGGACAATCGTATGGCACTGGTACTTTTGTGGATGATTGTATGCATTACACTGGAACAATATTCCTGAGAGTTCCGTAGGTACTAGGTACGTAAGAACAGCCCATCTCTCACCAAGGTAAACTGTCTGATACAAGTTCATCCTCATATACCGTCAACGTGATAAAGAACAAAGCTGGACTTACCCGGCTGATTTCAACATCTCTTGTGGAGTCAAATAAGTCCAAGATTTCTTCATTGTACAACTGTCACAGAAAACAAATTGAAATCTAAGTAAAATTGTATCATTTTCATCAATGGCTTCTCCCTCAGTGGGAAGCAGGATGCCTGTAGGACCTCCACTCATAGATTTATGAGCACTTATGTACATGTACAGGTAACTTTCCTGAACCACTTTGGTATTCCAACAGCCCATGCCCAAACTGAAGCACATCTGAGGTTATTTTTGGGAACAGCAGCATGGGCAAAGGATGGTCTGTCCTATCAGCGCTGCCCTACATGCATCGGTACATATATGTACCCTGACTCACGCATGTGCTTTGTTCCCAAATGATCTTGCCTTCTTTTACATGTAAATACCAAAGTGGCTCACAGTAAAAATGCTGCAACATTTGAAGGTTTTAAGGTAGAAGGGAAAGATTCAATTTTATCAACAATAGTGTAATTCGACCACCAGAATTAAAAGCCATTACTGCGGTGGCACAACGCTCGTGGACAGGTGGTACGCATGTGTTACATGCCTCTTTGACCAATAGGGTGTCATGATTTGCTAAACGTACTCATGCGTCAAGCTGAAGAATGTGCGTGTGAGTGCGGTGCCAACGTAGTTTGGGCGTCTTATCGTATTAGTCTATAAGAGTACATGCATCTACAAAGAGTCATCATTAATGTTTTACACCATAGCAGGCACAGCTGTCCATACCTCCATAAACTGAGCATGAATCTTAAACTCCGGAGGTGGTTCACTTCTCCCTGATGCTTCAACCCTGCGTTGCTCAATCCCAGTGAAGAGATGGTGCACAGCTCTGGGTACGATCCCCTGCAGTTCTTCACTGATCCCTGGTTCGAATCCAGTCCCCATCGTATAAGTTTTACCGGATCCCGTCTGGCCGTAGGCAAAGACAGTAGCATTGTAGCCTTCGAAGCAACTGAAGAAAATTCCATAATTTTATTGTCAACATTTGTTGAGTGTATTCCCATGTATCTGAGGTAACTGGCCTCTGAGACAGCCATCTTGAATCAAAAGCAAGGAAATACCTGTATTACTTTTCTAACAAATTAATGTTTGGGATGAAGATGATGCAGTGGGAGCAAATTACAGACCATTCTTGTGCTCTGATGGGTAATTCCAACCTAACATGACTGTGGTTTATTCCATGATTATCCAATTGGATAAAAATCAATGTTACCTTTATTTTTCAAATGGAAAAAACTTAAAGTGAAGCTACACCTGTAGTTATAACAAAATAGTCAGGCTCCTTCCCATTACAGAGTGCACAACAAATGAAGTTGATTCGGGAAGCATGATCAAAACTGGCCAGCATGTAAAATAAAACCAATTTGGGTCAGAGTGGACAAAAGTCAAGTATCCATGAAATGATCACAAGAGCTTTTGAGGGCCCTCAACGGTAAACTCAGGATTTTCAGGATTTTAAGTGAAGTTGTTTGGTAAATCCTAAAATTAGAAAAATCCTCATGAAAAAAACCTGACCAACTCACCGCTGTTTAACAGTGATTAGATACATACAACAAATGAAAGGTTTCTCCTCATCCACCCCAAGTTGAAGCGCACCCCCAAGCGGCAAAAGAAAGACAGGTGGTTGTAAGTTTTCCACGTGGGTTCTTGCACGGGTTGTGTGTGTACCCAAAGACCATACATGAAGGAATACAGTCCTTACACGTACTCGGTGTGCTCTGCATCAAACGCGCCATTGATCCCCATTATAAACGCGCGCCTATGCGATGAGTGCCAAACAACACGTCCTTTTTGGTTCCTCTTAGAGCAGATAGAGCACTCACCCTTCAATCAAGGCATGCACTGTAGAATTATAGACTTCATGCTGCTGGCTCTCCAAGTCAAAAACATGGTCAAAGGTGAATGCCCTGTCTTGACCCAGCATGACCTGGGCTTCACCTGGAGTCACTGAGGTACAGACTCGACACATGTCGATCCGCTCCCTGGCCAACTGTGGACGAATCCTGTTTACGGATAAAAACATAAGAATTTAAGAAATGACTTCCTGCGAGTGTCTGTTAGACTTTGATACGCTTGGCGGCAACAAATATACCAGGATGCTTCTGAGCATGCAGATCACCGTTACTGTCAGAAAGGACTGGTTCACTGCTGCCATCACTGGTTCAAGTCTTCGAATAGCAATGCACAGAGCGAGATTGGCATAGCACAGCACTCTTTCCAAACAAATCACGGCACAGCAGCCCCAGTTTGAATTTCAGCTCAAGTCTGCGTGGATTGGCTTCAGTCCTTGCTCTGTGGTGGGTTTATCCACAATCCGCCTTAAGCTGAAGTGCACCCCCAATCGACAAAAAGAAAGACAGATGGTTACATGCGGGTTCTTGCAC